ACAGTTCCCTAAACATTTAAAATTTCTTATTCTAACGATTGTAAAAACTATCAGGAAACACTTCCTTACCTTTATTGACAACCAATCTCCCTTACATGAAAGTTAGCTCCAGTCAATTGTTAACAATTAACACGTTTATTCTAAAGATTGATTTATTACATATTTCAAAATTCTCAGCATGTTCTATACAAACTGCCAAAGAAAGGGGACTTAGGTCAACACACACAGCTGTCTGTCCCAAGCAAAATACTAGGCTTCATCATCCAGGAGAGAATCAAACCCGCCCTGGATGAAAAACTTCGACCGGAACAGGCTGGTTTCAGGAGGAACAAGTCATGCATTGATCAAATCGTAACACTACAGATCATCATTGAAGAGGGTTTGGAATGGCAGTCACCTCTCTATCTCAACTTCATTGACTTTAAAAAGGCCTTCGACAGCGAGGAAACGCATGAAATGGACCCACACAAAACACTTGGAGGATCTGAATTTTGCCGATGATATGTATGTGTCTGATTTCCCACAAACTGGAAGATATTCAAATGAAAAGCAACAGGTTGGCGAAAGAAGCATCAAAGATAGGACTTCAGGTGAACATAAAGAAAACAGAGGTGATGAAGATTCCTGGCCAACAGCAACAACAACAGACAACAATCAGCACAAATGGGAGAAATCTGAAAGAAGCAACCTCCTTTGCCTACCTATCTGGGAAGCATCGTTTCAACTATTTATTTATTTTTATTTATTTTATTTTTGATTACAACTTGATTCCACACTGTATTTTTGGTACAAGTATGGAATTTTCAGCATGGATATCGGTAGCCCAAATTTTGCAGGCCGACGATAGATATCAGACGGATTTCATACTTCAATGTTTTCTCTATTACCTTTCAAACATTGAAGTATGAAATGTTATTATTCATAACCATTGTAATTTCAGGTAGTCTGCAGCTGACGAGAACCTTTAAAATAGAATGACGGTATCATTTTAAACTGCAAATCTGGTCTTTCTTTCTCTATCGACACTTAATTTTTGTTTTTTCTTACTCAGTTGAACTCACTATTGAGTTTCCAAATTCGCTTATTTGTTTGTCTGTGTCATAATTTTAATTTACTATTCACTACCCCCCCCCTCTTCAACTCTCCATCGTATTTTGTATAAATTCACTCTTTTGTTCCGGTCTTGTATTTTGTCTTTAGTCAGTCCTTGTTTCCAAGCGAAATCTGAATTCTACCCCCTGTCTTGTTTAGTTATACTATAAATAGTTAACCTTTTAACACTGAATAATTCGTCTACCTTCATCATTTTTTGGGATTATGTTGTTCATACTTTCTGTCGACAGCTCTTAGTCACTGTGAGAAAAGTATGTTCAGAAAATCTGAAACTTATATATTGATTTTATTTCAGATGTGTGCCGTCGAAAAGAACCCACGAAATAGAACGAGCACGTACTATCTTGAAAATATACTCATTCTTCGTTTGTTCAAATGTTCGTCGGTTTGTTCACTCCGCTAGATATATCTGCTGGAAGAGACTGGAAAGGTCACATAAAATTGCATTGATTCTAGCCTATTCATGAAATAAATGAAGTGTGGTTTCCAGATTTATAAAAAGTATAGTTCTGACCCTTTCATCAGCCTTCAAAAGCCATCGCAATTCATCTTTACAACGTAAATTCAATCGAATTAAAAGCTTGTCTAAACACTTAATTTGCGATGAAAGCAGACAATGTTAAACTTTAGGCACCAGAACGCGCACGACGCGAAATGACCTTGGAAAGACTCAGCGCTGAAAGACGAATTTGGTCTATTAACCATAACTCTAACTTTTCCTAGCCATCTAATATCTCCCTGATTAGGATGACCTAGACCTAACCTTAATCTTTTCCAAACCTATCTTGAAGCTTACCAGATATCTCGTTGAATATCATGACACTTCAATAAGCACGTTTTCTGATGAAAATAGTATCGTTTACGTTAAGTCAACGTGGTGGCCTGCTTAAATCATTGGTTTACCCAAAATTTCCATCATGTATAGCGCTTCATAAGCTCTTCTCGATTTCTTATTGTTGTTTTAATCATCCGTGTTTTTGGATCACATAATTTGAACTCGCACATAGTTTTGGCTTGCTGTAGTGCAGAGCACTTCTCAGTAGAAGCAAGAAAACAATATCGTAGAGATTTGGATATTGCTTCAGGTGGAACTCTGTTCTATGTGTTAACGTATTGTCTAGAATAAAGCTGTTATCATTATTACCTGCTTCCATTGACCTGCTGACTGAACGTCCTAAGGTCATTGATGTGTTCGCACCCCCCCCCCTTCTGGTGCCTAAAGTTTAACTTCGTCTGAAGGAGAAATGACTTTTTCATAAAATTCTCCTTTGAATTTATGCAATTGCTGAATGTTCAAGTCACATTTACTTGAACATTCAAACCAAGAATTCGTTATCTTGAGTAATAAACGCTTCATTGAACAATGTGTTGCAGTAACGTGTCGTTATGATGTTCTTGTATGTGTGTGTGTTCATCCCTGGTTATGTAAACTAGCAGTTCTCTTTGCTTAATTATTCACTTCGTCTATCCTCATTTATCTATCTATCCCTCATAGTCAGCTAGACGACGCAACTTTAGAAGATGCATTGCTTACTTGTCAATTGGCTGGAGATCATTTACAAGCCTCTGAATGGTTAACACGTAATGTTGGAGAATCAGGACGTGGTATATCTGCTGGTCAACGACAATTGATATGTCTTGCTAGAGCTTTACTTCGTCAACCTCGACCAAAAATTATCTGTTTAGATGAAGCTACTGCTTCAATAGACAATAAATGTGAAGAAATTATTCATGTAAGCTTTGCTGTGTTTGTTCTTTGTTTTTTATTTCATTATTTTACTTTTCAACTAGTAATAATAATCTAATTTATTACAACCAATATTCTGTTTGAAGGTTTTTTTTAAAGTTTGTAAGCCATTCAGTCATTGGGGCCCCATTCAGTAGCCAGCGCATGAATTCCAACTTCCAGCAAATTGATGCTCGCTAGTGACTGCCTGCAACGCGAGGTTGACTGAAGTTCTAGTGGGTCTATCCGGTCGGGGGTTAGAACAAACACTCACCGATGATATTAGTTGGCTAGTTGTAGCTCTAAAATCATCAATTGGTATAAGTTAAAACTCATGAACCGGCTGTTGAGTCGGGTCCCAATGACTGAATGGTCTAGAAGCTTGCCTTGTAACCAGAAGGCTCTGGGTGAGTACCCGATTCATTAGCCCATGAATTCCAACTTCAGCCAATTCATGATATAGTGCGACCAATAGCCAGTGTCATCGGCGAGTATTTGTTCTCGCACTCGACCTGCTGTATCCCACTGGTCACAACTTTCCACTAGAACCCCAAGTAACTAACTACGTGAATAGAGCCAGTCGCTAGAGAGCATCTCATTGGTATTCAAGTATTGGTTTGTAGGAAATTGATTGATTGGTTACAGGATTTCATCATGAACTGACATCGGTTAGAGAACCACTGAAGACCAGCACTGAAGTACTGGACAGTTGTTTTCGTCAGCCTAGTTTGGGACTCCTCATCAGCACCCATTCGTGGGGGTTTTGGAACCCGGAACCTTCTGGTTACAAGGTGGGCTCGTAGACCATTAGGTCACTGGGACCCGATCCAATGGCCTCTTTTTTAAATTTTGAATCCTTTATACAATTCGTATTGTGTCTTATGTTCATTCTTTTTTTTCCTTTCATTTACATGTCTGTATATGATTAGCAAATATTGGAACGAGAATTTAAAGGAGCTACTATATTACTCATAGCCCATCGACTTTCTTCTATCAATCGGCTGTGTTCACGTGTTATAGTTATGCAAACTGGACGAATAATTGCAGATGGTCCACCAGAAGAAACACTCTCTACTGTATTTAAAAATATTAAAGCTACAGAATTGATTACATTATAAACAGTATTATTTATAATTCATCTCATAGATCTGACTTTTGTTATTTGAATCTCTTATTATTATAATATTCATTTTTTTTATTTTTTAAATATATAGTTTGTTGTCTCATTCTCATAACTGATTCACTTGTTATGCCATGATGATTGCCTTCAACTCCTTATTAATAATAGGTAATATAGAATGTCTTGTTAATAATGTCGCGAGTCAGATGCTTCGTCATTAGACGACGGATCTACCCAGCTTATCATGTACAACTAGGATTAGTTAGTTATCAAGTTATATAATAGTTTACAGAATGTACTCTTATTGACCTTAATGGTTTGTAGGGATTTAATTTGTTTCGAATTCTCCCACGGCTTGATATCAGTTAAAGAAGCATTAAAAACCAGCAGGGAAATACCCTACAGCTGTTTTACCCTAGTCTTAGACTCTTCATCAGTATGCACCCACCACCAAGGTTCGAACCAAAGGCTTTCCGGTCACAAGTCCAGCTCATTGACTATTCCGCCCACTGGGACCCGATTCAACGGCCAGTCCATGAATTTAAACTTATACCAACTGGTGATTTTAGCGCGACCACCAGCGAATATCATCCGCAGCGAGTATTTGTCCTCACTTCCGACCGAGTGGATCTCACCGATCACAAATTCTTACTAGAAATCCTGGCAACTTCGTCACTAGCGAGCATCTGATTAATTTTCAAGAGTTAATTAGCTAAACTCACAAATAGATAGAAGTTAGAATTCATGGGCCATTGACTTAGATCTCAGTAGCTGGATGGTCTACAAGCTTTCCTTGTAACCAGAGGGTCCTAGGTGAATGCGTACTGATAAATAGTCCAAAACTAGGCTGACGAAACGCCTATCGAGTACTCCCAGCTGGTTTTCCAATGGTTCTCTAACCGATGTCAGCTCATGATGAAATCCTGTAAGCAGTCAAAGCAAGTCCACGCAAACGCTTATGGCCTCTAACTGTATACTTCAGAGAATACTATAGAAAATGTATACCTACCTGACGATTATATATTGACAGAAAGGCAGAAACACTTGTCGACACTTTATTATACATGAAAAGAGATGGTATAAAACGAAACTGGTTTACAAAATTGATCTTTTATGCTTGTTACGGGACTTCTCAGAATAGTAGGTAAGTAAGTAGGTAGATAATATAAAAGACAATTGGATTAAAAATGTAGCGTCGATACATTTGATGAAATGTTGAAGGGGCAGAGCGGCAGGGAGAAATATACACAGTAATATACAACACAATAGGAATGGTACATAATAATAATAGGTAATCAATTATCACTAGTCCATATTTTAATTGTCTTATCACCTTCTAAAGACCCGGAAGCAATCATATTCATTTGTGGATGACAAGTTGTACACAAAGCAATATCTAAGCGAAGAATTATCATTATGATAAATTAAAGCTGACAAACCTGTATGCCCAGAAAGTTTTTGTACAATTTCTTTTGTTTGTAAATTCCATAAATAGATGAGATTATCTTCAGAGCCTGAGACAACCCACTAGGAATATTTAAAAAATTACAAATAGGAACCTACCTTGCCTCCAGTAACTGAAAAATTGGCAAATATACAAAATTTCTCATTTTTATGTCCTCCGTAAGTTTTTAAACATCTACCCTTTGTATAATCCCATAATTTAAGACAACTATACATTCAAACATTATTAGTAATAATAATTTTATATCACCTGTCAAGTGTTGCAGCTAAAATATACTTGCCATTCGGGGAGAATTTAACAAACGAAACAGGTGGATTATCATCATCTTCAGGTGATGTAATGAACCAAATTAGTCAGTCGAAATAGATCACTTACTTACCTATTAAAGTTTTTAAACATTGACCGGAACCAGTATCCCATATTCGACTAGAAGTGAAATGTTGTATATAAATGCGTGTATATATTATATAATCGCCTACCATAATCCATCATAACTGCTCGAGGCGATGAGTGAACCATCTCGATTAAAATTAACCTAAATAATAAGCGTGTATATTCAGAAGGAGAACGGCGATTCACACTTACAGCTGTAACTGGATCTGAATGAGCCGGTAAGGTGCGTATACATCGACCAGTTTTAACATCCCATAGTTTAACACTTTCATCAAACTAATGAAGTATATAGTGTGTATTAATAATTATTAATAAAAATACAATCACTTACAGAACCAGAGACAATTAGATTTGACTGTGGATTGAAGTTACAACAGAAAACATAATTACTATGACCTTTAAGTGTTTTTAAACACTTTCCAGTGACTAAATCCCATAATTTCAAGGTTTTATCATCAGAAGAACTGCACAGAAATCTTGAATCATAAGACCAAGAAACATCTGAGATTCCCTTTATTAAGAAACAATTATTATTATTATTAAATTGAATTATTTAAAAAAAACTACCAATTTATGACCATTAATTGATTTTTCAAATTTTCCATCGTAGGCATTCCATATTTTGATAAGTTTATCTGCTGCTATAAGTATGAATTTTTTGGGGAGGGGGGAAATAAAGCAAATAATTTTTTCAATTATTTTATTGAGTACTTACATGAACTTGCTAACCATTGGCCATTTTCACTAAACTTTATAGAAGATACTGCTTTTGTATGACCAGTTAGAGTATATTTCAAGGTGTAATTTGGTGCCTTTTAGAGAAGAAGAATAAATCAATTGATATGATATTATTAACTAAATGCTTACTTCATTGCTCATTTTGCATGTGAAAAGTTGAGTTTTAAGTGGGGGGAGGGGGCTGTGTAAAGAAAAAGAAAAATATCTATTTATATAATACAAATGAGATTTAAAACAAGCAATAAAGAAGGTTAATAAAACAGGATTTAATGAATTCATCAAATTTCGGTGGAGCTCGTCAGCTGCTCAGTACTCTACATACACGGATATATATATATATATATATATATATATATATTTGAAATTACATCGGGATATAAGACTGATAAGCGAATAAACTACATGGAATTAGTCGTGCAGAAAGACACGTGCAAATGTTTTCCAGGTCACGTTCAAATAGATAAGAGGAGAGGGAGTATGAGAGATCAAAATTAAGATAAATTGCATTACGCTTCAATTACGTCACTTAGATAAACAAATAGTCATTAGAGAATACATCAAGAACTGTAAACAGGGTACTATCAATAGTAATAGTTATAATAATAATGTTGAGGTGAGTCAAGATAATGCTACTGATAAAGGGTAGTTTTAAATGAATCAAGAATAATAATAATAGTAAGAGGTAGAATAATAAGTAAAACATATTACTATGGTAGATTCAGAATGACGACCATCTGCTTTTGTACACAAAGACCTGGTTTATAAACTTGGATTGCACAAGCCTCTGCAATCGCACGCATCTTCTTGTTTCTTTGTCTGCTGACAATAGTGAATGACTTGACAGCGTAGATATCATACAAATGAGATTTACTTTAATATGTAGCAGTTTTTAATGATTGCCAGTGTATGACACTGATACGAAAACAAGCATTAGTATATTCTTGCTGAAAACGCTTTTTAAAAAAAGTGCACTTAGACATCCGGAACATAAAACCACATTTCTATCAATAAAATTCGTAAAACAATGGATCAGATCATGTACTAGAGTATAGGATAGGTTAAATTCAAATTGCTGATAGTTCCTTCTGTTGTCAAGATATCACGATAGTTAAAATGTGAACGTTTCATTTCAGGAAAATCTATAGTTTATCCTTAGTGACAAAATTTACTTTGAAATTCAAGAGGAATATGAGTAATCTAGGGATCCAGTAAAAATAAAACCTGAAACGAAGTCATCGTTATACAGATTCACAACAACAATATCGACTCGAACTACTTTTGTAGAAAACGTAAAATAACTACAGTAATCGGAGTTCCTAATGATTGATAAAATGTTTACATCTGATTATGTCATTTATTGTTATAGAAGAGATATACGACTATGCATCAAGCATTTTCTTTTATCCTCCTCATTCTATGAATATGAGGTATTAAACAATTGAATGCAGGAGTTTTCACTGATAATTGTCTCTTATTTCATCCAAACTGGAGCCAATGAGAAAATTGGTTACGTCTAAAAAGATGTTTGAGCATTTCCCATACTACTACATACTATATTAGTGCTGTATAAAACAGAGAAAGGGATAACACTAATTCAATAATTACTATCTAAAAAAATGGCATAGGTTTACAGCTCGTAGTGTTGGCAATAGAATGTGAAGAGGTATCAACAATAGCTAACACTCATCACCTATTTAGCCTGATTATTAAAAACTGGTCGTAAAAATTCATAATCTGACCGACTGGTTTCAACGTAGAACTTTGAACTGATGTGCAGCAGTTCGAGTTGCCATACAACCAGAAAAATGAGGCAAAAAGAATAGTAATATGGAATAACATTAGTTTCATCGGATATTATAAATCACAAAAAGTGAATGCATCTGCGCCATTGAAAATGATTTCCAGCTATGTCACTGATTGTCTCCAGCCATTAGTGTTTACCGTCCCGAGGACCTAAAGCAGTCTACGCCTTCCTATGTGACTTAAACTAACTATCGTGGATTTCATTAACCGAGGAAGCCATGTTTTGGTTTGACCACCACTATCTCTTTTCCAACCTGATCCAGCTAACATTGTTCGTCGAGGAAGGCGATGACCAGGCATGCACACTACACATGTCCTAACCATCTCAATCGGCGTAACTTCACAGCCTCGTTTATTGATTTGCTCTCCTTGTCTAGCGCTCGAAGCCTACCTTTAGTATTGCTCACCCTGTCATACCACTTCATACGGGAGATAGAACGCAGGCACCTATGATCAAAGACAGCTAGTCTTTTCTTGTCATCCACTCTCAATGGCCAGGTCTCACAGCCATAAAGGAGGACGGAGCCGACTGCTGAGCAGTACACCCGCCCTTTGGTCAATAGCCAGCAGGATATCACGTCTACGCCAGAGACGGCGTAAACTGGCATATACGAAACTAGCCGTCTGTATCCGTGCTGAGATTTCGTCAGCGATTAACCCGTTGGGAGTGATGCAACTCCTTGTACAAGTGAAGTGGTCAACACGCTCTACCACTTCACTCCCTATCTTTAAGCTAGGAGTCAATATAGCCGAGTCCTGGAGCACCATCTCACATTTGACGGGAGAGGATCGCGTGCCAAATACATAGTGGGTGAGGTGATCTCTGGGAAGAATTGGATTTAAGTCACTTCTTAGGATAAGCATCTGGATTACTAGGCAGAATATTTTTCCCACCAGCCAGTGAAGTATCTTAAACACCTAAGTAAGCCACTTATCAACCATGCAAACTAATCATAATAACAATCTGAGGTATATTCCATTAAGACCAAGTAAATTACTAAGTCTCAGATGACACAGTCAAAGCACTATGAACTAAAAAAGTAATTACCAAGAGACAATAGTAGTGATACTATTTAGCAACTCAGTGTAGCTGCTAACATAAGTTCTGAACTCTAGTAGCATTTGATCCGGCCAATAAGCTGTCATTTGTCACAAGCCTTTATCACAGTCTAGTCTGTGGACACAAACCGACCTGATATAGCTGAATTATCTTTAAAAGCTTAATCGTCTACATACTTTGTTGTTTGAGAAAGGCACCAAATCAGAGGTGAACACACAATCCCAGTATGAAAAAAGACACCACAAAATCATTCGCTGCTAATGAGGAAGTACTGAGGGACACATTTATATTACTGTACAAGAATGAGCCAGCTAATAACTGATATAACTATGGACTGAACATCCTGTATAATACATGGTAGAACAGGTTGTGGCGTGCATTAGCACTAAAGTTTCAGTAACAAATTATTACTGAACGGAAGAGTGAGTTACCCATTAAGTGTAGCAATCATCTAGGCATTATAAGACAATAAACCTAGTGCAAGCAGCCTAAGTACAAAAATAAGTGAAAAATAGTAACTGGTGGAATTTTGAAGGAGTTCATCAGTGCATAGAGAGCCACTCAAATTAGGACTATTACATTACTTCTCGCAAATTTATACCAGATAAATTGTAAATCTTTTTTTTCTTGACTATAGTCAAGAATGCATCTATAGATACATTAACAGATTAAAAATAATTACACTCAGCTGAACATACTACACAGATGGATAGATGACTCAATTAAACCCAAACAAAGAAATTGGGGGGGAATGCCTCTTTTTAAAAAAATGATCATTTTTATAAAAATAAAGATCGATCATGGACATTTAAAGGCACACTGAATACTAATAATCCCAAAAAAATGTGAAACAATGGTCTTAGAGAATTTAAAAATCAACAAGGAGAGTAAATTATAACTCGCATAGCATAAAACTACTACTTACATGCACCAAATCAAAATCAAGAAATTTACTGAGACCAAATTACCTTGAGATCAAAAGACGAGCGCTAGCATTCCTTTATTCAATGTACTTATCACCACTTGGTATAAGCCAAACTGACTTCGTTAAACCGACTTCTGGGTGATGAAGAAACAGCTTCTGGTCTTTGGTTGGCTTCTATGTGGATTATTCTGCAGTAGCTTTGGTAGACCCCTACAGCAGTGACGGTATGCGTTGTATTCACAGAATGGCACTGTTGTGATCAGAATCAGTCACTTCGCCTGTTATTCACCCCATTTATTCGAAAGCAGATATAAAATAAGGTAAGCTGAAAAAATGCAAATTTAATGAAAGCAATCGGTAATTTAAATCAAAATAAGCAAATGAGTGAATAAGTAGAATAAGCAGGAGGGCGGGAGAGGGAAGAACGTACGGGTGTCAAGAGTGAGCTTAGATTTTTAAAAGCCAATTAACAGGGTGCAGAATATATTGACTACCTCTCGTTTTTGTCAGGAAGATAGCTAGTAGGCACAATCCGTGTACCGTTTCATGATTATCCAGACTCAACACAAGGATTTTCTGCGACTGCGTAACAAGCTTTGGTTACTGATAGTGCATTCCAGCTGCTGCAAACGACTTTTATGAAACACTTAAATTATATCCTCTTCAACTCAGCAAATAAAACTGCTGACACAGCTAAGTTTGTTTGTCTCATCGCCTCTAGAAGAACAGAGCACTGATGCCTAGAAAGATAAGATGGTTCTCAACTTCAATTTTTGATTCACACTACACAACCCATGATATGATGAGTATTTGCATAGTAATGGTATGTCATTTGAAAGCTTGAAGAGTTTTTTAGTAGAGTTAAACATGAACGACGATAATATGAAATACTTATTATTTACTGGGACAGAATCTTGTGCACAATTTTGCAAAATGGTAAACTTTACATTGATTTCCCTAGCAGCGAATAAAATCATTTACTAGGTATAGGGAGAATCATGCTCTTGCCATCATTTGGCCATTTGGTTCTTTTCAGAATTGTAAACTCTTCGCGTCTCTTCACCAGTAGCTTCTCCAAAGACGTTATCAAATGTACTATTTATATTTGTTTACAATTATCAAACACTACAAAATACCCATAATCTTCTATCAGCCTAACAAAGATCTTAAGTGAATTTATTCCTAAAATGTAAACACCACCAATTTGCGGGTAGCTGGCATTTTTAACACAAATGCTGAAAGTATCAGGAATCCCGTATTTCTTCATCTGTCTAACAGCTTGTATTAATTAGTAATTCCCCAAAATTATTACTATAAACCATTCTTCACTCAGCGTTGAATGCTAAGCTGCACTGCTTAAATTGACTTGCTAAGCTAATAACTCGCTCTCCAGCGTCCACGCCTTTTAGACGCGATGTCATATTACGCTCGGTCGTTCCTGTACGACCCTTGGGTAGCTTAGCAATCACCATCGCGCCAAGATTCGGATCCTGAAATATATCTCGTATTCTAGATCAGTGTTGCGTTTTGATTTGTCCTTGCCCTAGGCACAACAAGTACCGCAGGAGTCGGGAGACAAGAACTTGCCTTCGTATACAGAGTACTCGGTCTAAACGCTTTGTTAATCACGACAGAGATACCTTATAAAAGTACAGCAATCAATATATCAAGGACGACATACAAACTTTATGACAGTACAACAATAAGTATGACCTCACCTTGCTGTTAATGTTAACAAAAAGATATGTGACAGTTTGCCAGTCAGGATGGTCTGACCTGTCTCTCGTGATTATTGTTTAATTTAATGTAAACTCCCACCACTTATGGATGAATGTTGTATTCTGTCTTTCATACGTGTGTAAATTAATTTGCTAGCCATTTTGTTCCACACATCATTATTGTTCGGTAGATTTTTACCTTCATTTGAATGACGGTTTCCATTTTGTTGTTACATTTGTGTAATTGTATTATTTACTTGATATTTTAAAACAGATCAAGTTTATGTCAAGTCACCTGAGTTTTGACTAGAGCACGGCCCCAGACTCTGTATCGTCTGTATTGATAGGGAGGACACAATCTGTAGGCAAAATTGATCCCACACCCTTACTGTCATATAAAGAGTTATGCGCGCGAAATCTATTCATTTCTTGAAGTGGGAGAGTTTCTATAGAACATCATCATCCATCTACTTCGTACAAACTAACACCAGCCAGAAAAGCTTTCTTCCATTGGCTTTTAATATGGGTTGAAATTGTATATTCGGAGAAAAACTCGAGAAATCAAATCTGAAAGTCCTGTTTTCGATGTGCCAAAGCATCGTGAAAGTATTCAACTGGAATTCTGGTGGCAGTGCCTTAATTTCAGAGATGATTTCTTTCAATACTCAGGTATACTATGAGGGTCTGAAATGAGCTCCACATGCCATATTAGCAGAATTCTCTTTGATGTCCAGGAGTGTAGAATTTCTCTACTGAGAGCAAACTTTCATGACGATGAGTGATCGCGACAACCCAGGAAAACACTTGCATCCTTGTCTCTAGTTTAGAAATGTTAGTAGTAGCCTGGCTCTGGTAGGAGACAGCTGAGTATGTAAAAGCTATATATTGGAAAACAGTTCTATGAAAATTCACAAGATTTTCAAGGGTCTAGAATGCTATTACTTACTGGTGGGTAGCAGAGAAGTCGTAGAAATACTCTGCACAGACTGTGTAAAAAGTCTTCAGCATTTAATTATCCTCAGAAAATCGTCTATTATGTTCACCGAGTGTTAAAAATAAACGTAAACAGTGATGAACGAGAAGCCACCTACCGAGTAAAGTGCATGGAGTCTCCATGGTCGACAAGCGTCTCAAAAATGGTTATTGGCAGCCACTGAAAGCTTTTCAGTTATTTATTGTAAGATTGGACCTATCTCTGCATCGGATGCCTCGTCTAAGGCGATTAGATGTGATATCGGATAACATATATATTCATTCTTGTCTCTGTGTGAGCTCATCAGTTGTACATGCATGGATAAGTATTATATAAATTTTGTAAATTCGGTTTATGATGAATTTACATGGTTGGAGATCTTTCTGACTTTAGTTTGCGGGAACATTCTGCCAAATAGTCACTCATTGGAGCAAATTAACAGGAAATCCAAGTCTGTGCCAGATAGATCACAAAGGATTGAGAAAAAATAAAGTTTGAAGTCGGCTCTCCCACATGAATGTGCTGTTCACGGCATCGAGTCTTATTCTTGATTCATAGCCGAATCGAGTATTAATTTAAAATATATTTGTGTAATTTTGTCAGCATTTTCATCGTAGGCATCGTCAGAAGTGAATTGTATTCCAGGCAGACTTGTTTTACTGCACTGAGGCCGACTATTACCGGTGCCTGAACCTTATGATGTTCTGTACGAGGAGTGAGGATAAAGGCCCCCGCGATGTATCTTCGCGCATGGTATAGATTATCATATTCATGGTGATAGGGGCGTTATAAGCATCTATTTTTGCGTATATGGAATGCATGTAGGTACTTTTAGGCTTGTGCAGTCTAAAAAGTGAGATTTTCTTGCATTACCTCAGTAATAATGAGAATGAGTGTTCTGATATACCATATGAATTTTTATGAAAAAAGAATGTACCAAGAAAAATTGTGTACATAAATGACTATTAATTTTGATAAGGGGACCTCAAGAGTCTTATATTTGTGAATTGTTAGTGAATACCAGGTCTTAAATTGACTACTCCCAACGGTTTTCATGAGAATTGGGATTACTGGGAAGGACGAATCTTTACGCATAGGTATGTAGGCTTTTTAACCTCTCGGGGAATAAACGAAATGGTGTATGGTACACAACAGAAATTCTGTCCCGAATGAGACAATTATGTGAATCTTGTTGTGATTATGCCCATTTTGATGAAGTTCGTGGCGAAAGGTGTTAAGCTGAATATATGATACTAGTGGAATTGGAAGGACGTAACTGCTTACCACATCGAATAGCATCAAATTATGTTGACATGACTCTTCATTGAGGTAAGAAGAATACTACTGATATTCCTTCTGAAATATCACACTACTTACAGTAAGTACTGCCTTTCTGTCAAAGAGTAACTTGCAGGTCCCTCCAAATACTAATACACGTGTTACGTAAATCATATCAGTCGTATTAATCGATCACTTGCAGACGACGAATAAATACTGGATTACTTAAGGAGGTACTTTTGTCTATGATAGATGTAGAAGTTGCACTCGCGACTTATATTTTTTAGGCATATCTTAAGTAGTACCTGGTCTGGAGAGGCTTCTTGAATTTCATGATGAAATGCGGAAGCACATGTAGTTATGGGTGGTATCATCCCTTAAGGCACAGGTGATGAGAATGAATCCGACTTAAAGTTTTCTTGCAAAGTAATAGTGTAAATTTTTGGCAAGTAATCTATACGAAGGAAATGCTTAGATCGTATATAAGTAAGCACTACTGAAGATTCAGTAATTACTGCATTTTAGATGTGTAAACTATCTTCCAAAGCCAAAAGCGACATCCAAATATGAAGGCATCGTCTGCTTGCTTGACAAAGAATGTAATATATGTGATAATTGAAATGCTGTCATGGCCACAGAAGGAGACAAAGAATGGACCGTTGTGACATGATATAATGAAGTGAAACATTATGGGACTTTTATATTTCTTTCTTCTAATTGTAGCATAATCAATCGCTCATTTCATTCGCTTATTTTCAAAGACCTGTTTCTCTACGTGACTCTTGCGTACAGATTTCTGTTCGAAACATTCCTGTTGACTGTCACAATCCATAGAATTTATTCGGCTAGGAGATTTCTCTATTAATATGTGGTAAGACTTGCCACATGTATATAGTACGACTAGATCAACGCTTTTTGGTTACTTATGTCCTTGGATCGAAGGATTCCGGCCAGGAAGTGTCTTTATTGGCCACCCTTACTCCCGCAGCACCACTGGCCATACATACATTTATGTAAATACATATATGTGTATATCATTTCTTCTTCGGTAGATCCACTTCTAGCTGCATTTTTGAGATTACTCTGTATTTTTGACATAAGCCATTGTTGTACAACTGTTCCACTGATCTACCACGCTAAATTGTATTTCAACATTGTTGAAACAAAATTTTCGACTGTGAGTTATTCCAAAAGTTCCGAAACCTATAATCAAGAACGGTAGGTCCTGTGAAGACTATTGGCTTGATTTCGTCCACTGGTTTTCCCCGAGAACACACTGTCTTTCCCGATGGCTTCCTGGACCATAGCAAGGGTGTTTTAGCGAATTCGCGCAAACCGATACACTTTGGATCCCTACGAGACAGAATTATCATTAGCGGAAAATAAAACTGAAGTATTAGCCAGGACAAACTATCAAAATACCAGAGGTGTCTTAAACATTTAGGGGAAGGAAAGAACGAAAAAAGTTGTGCGAGTAACTTGATATGATTATGATCAATAGTTTGTGCTCGAAACGTCACCAGTTAATATTAATGTACAATACTGCGAAATTTATCAAGATAAAATCTTATCTATAACAGAGTTATACTCTACTACGGTGCCCAAGTTTTATACTTACATCGGTCAAACCTTTAGGCCCTGGAACCCTCAAAAAAGTCACCAAGTTACATAAAAGTGAGTTTATTCCCTTCTAATCAGTGGTGTACCAAAGAAAATCAAGTAGTTCGATTCCTACTTGGTATTGCTGGATATGCGTAATAACGCCAAGTTAATGCGATCTGTCAAACGATAAGTCCAAATGTTGAAGGTGGGTTTCCCTGTCTGAGACGCAGTGGTACAGTCCCTTAGGTACACCTGTAGAACGTTTGGGCGAGAGAATACTTCTTCAACAAGCGTTGGGATGTTATTTTTCACTGCATTACACAGACTTAACTGCATTCATATGAATTCTAAATATCAAAAACGAGTAATCACTTCAGAATGCTCTCTGACATCGTAGGATTTCGCTCGGATGCTTTGGCCAGGTCCGAATTCGAAGAGGTGGCCCCTCTGAATAAAGTTCCCTTTGGGCTGTGAATAGCCAGATTTGAGAAGTTAATCTACAAGATTAGGCAAACACCTGTAGGTCGCCAAACCCGTCGATTTTTCTCGAGTACCGTTCGGAGTGGATATGTCTTTGGACGATGCAGCTGCTCGACACTCTCACTGATGTTGTGAGCAAATTCTTTCTTAACTATTCCTAGCGTATCCAAAGGCTTTCTAATTCGCAGTTTCTCCTGTGGCTAAGATATAGTATATTATAATGGCAGTTACGCATAGTGTATCAACCGCTGGACTGTTAAATTCAGGGTACTTGTTTGAGATTGTATAAAGTCTTCTACCAAACATGTTTTCAGTTTAAGCCCGTGATAAACTGTGACCAGGGTAGGTGATTTTCTTGATAGGCAGACCCTTGATGTCACATGCGAACCACTGCCGACTATCATCTTCGAGACGACTGCGATAGTGAAACTTGTGAATCAGTATCATAGCCATCGCGACTTCGGCTAGGAAAAAGAACACGCAGTAAGCATGCGTCAAACTACGCTTAAGTGAAAACACCGTCTCCCGAACGTTGTGACAGGCTATGTAACAACCAAAATCCACTAACTTCAGTGCAAACAAAGGCAATAATTCAACTAGGCCAGGTTACGACAATCCATGCATAGTTCATCAAACTTAATTGCGTCACACACGGCCAAACACTATGTCAACAGAAGTGGAACCTTATTTAGTAGGATTATTTTGAAGACCAACATGTCACGCTGAACAAACAAAAATGCCGCCGGGTAAATAAGTGGTCGAAGATTTTTCCTATATAGAATGCACACCAAACAGCAAAAGTGCCTAATTAAACACAACTGTCAAATACTCGAGGATAAACGAGAATGTCACCACGGAAAGAGCTCATAACTCTATCTTCGAAAGTCAAATGGAACAACGAACGCTTCGGGCAGAAAACAAATACCACTCGGTCACTATATGGCGCAATCATGACGCTAGCTGAACGAGACGCTGAGAGCAGTAATTCTCACTGCATGAGCAAAGTGAAGCACCGAGAATAATACCTGAACAAAATAATAACAAATCATAGGGAATGAGTGGACAGATGATTGCTAAATGTGAAAAGGGACACCGTGTATAAAGGGTAAACATTTAGAGGAATTAGACGTAATATTCAAACGAATATAGCTACTATCAATGAATTGCCTTGTAGGAATCCTAAAACGATTTATTCCGCCACAGGCAAAATATTCGCAGACTAAACTCGCATTTTGTAGCTGAATTCGCCGTTTGCGATTTTCAAATTTCGACGAGGCGGAAATCACCACAGTTTCCCCAGGAAACTAAAATTTTTCGGATCACAACACGGGATTTTGTTGACGTAATAAACAGCGGTCAAAAAGATAGGCACATATTCACGGCGCTATATACTTCCGATTAATGTGAGTAGTTGAAAACCACTTACACTGACTAGTGTTGCCTACTAGCGAGATCACTGCCACCTAAACATAGTTCGTGGCTTCTAAGTTAGGACCATCCCTTTCCGGTGATCTATCTCAGGGAAGGGCGCTCAACTCCAAGCCAGCTCTCATGCGGTAACACTTCCTTGTGATGATGATGATGTTCCCTAAGAAGTTACAGCCACCGACTACGGTTGCCGCTAGGAAACTTGTTGAGTTCTTAGGGTTTCTACAAAAACGGAAAAGTTTCCTGAAGCCTTTCGAACCCCTCCCTAGGTATTATGGCACCATAAACACCGGATTCTATCCGTTTCCGTCTAGTTTACTGACGACCTCGACAGCAGCCCCCCTGAAGTGAGTTTATACGACAGTCTGGATGGTTTTCAGGGCTTACTGGTCCAAACATTTGTCTGACTGCCTTATAAATGGATGTCATATCATTTTCAGTGCTGGTTATTCTCTTACAAATAAGCATAGTTCAGTTGTTGCTTTTCGGGATATCTTCGGCAGTTAACCGATCGAAATAGACGATTTATAAATGGAGGGGCACTGGTGGTGACAACAGTGACAAGAGCAATTATCTAAAGAGTCCATCATCTAATGTTCTATGTCAACTGACTTCACGCACTTGTAAAATCATGAATGCCTGTGAACTATTTTCAAATTTGACATCACATAAAATTTCTTCTTCGTTCTCCCGGGGTGTATGCCTAGCTAACCAGAGTTCCTGCACATCATGCACAAAAGGTGCAAAGTGTTTAGGGCGTTTGATCATGTGCCTGCACTTTGAACAGTCAGGTTAAATTGTGATGGCTAGCACTTGCTTGTGAATACTGACGTAGTTAAGTGACTTTAGAGAATTTCTTCATGCCAAAGACTCCAATCAGCTCCCAGAAGTTACTTCATGTTCCCGCAATTTCACAGCAGTTACCATTATAGAAAAATTTATTTCAATAAAGTTGGAAAGTTGTGTAAGTAAATTGATATGATTATGAGCAACAAATTATGCTCGAAACGTCATCAGCAAATATTACTGCACAACACTGTGACGCTTTATTAAATTAGATTTCATCCACAATGGAATTATACTCTACCGCAGTGCACAAATTCTATTCTTATTTCAGAGCACTGATCCACAATCTAATGAGCTAGTTTATAATGATTTTGAACAGAATACGCATTGTTGTATTATGCTGTACTAAGTGATGTGGGTGATTTTGATTCATTATGTGAAGACAGTTGGCGATCAGAACTACATACTGCATGGTATGCAGTAGCCATTTACAGCTCATGGTAACTGTTAACCACCGGGATAACTTCGTTTGCTTGGAAGAACGAGCTAGCGAGATTTTCTATTCTCACACAAAATTTTGCTATTTTTCATTTACCCCATTAAAGTCTCTGAAAAATTAAAAGAGAAGACTGATGTTTAAATTCTTCTTCACGAGCTAAGAATCAGGGCAGTTGGAAACGCCATTTGGTTGTTTTCATTTAAAAAACATTGAAGATTGAAAACTGACTCGAAAATACCACATCACCAAAACTAATCGAAAACCTCAAACAGGACACTATGGCCTAGTCGACTAGAAGTATCAGTGTGCATAAACCAAAGACACCTACAGTTACAGCCGGTAAGCATCTTACTAACAGAAACCCTGGGAGAAAGCTCGCAGGAACAGCAAAGGAACCCGTAATTGTCTTGGGGTCACTTGCATCGGCTTGCGAGCGTGGCAGCCAAACACAGATTAGTGAGACCCAGATGCATTCTAAAGTTACCGACCCCCCAGAGGTGGAGAAGTGGCCAAAGACTAAACCTAAGTTTGAGGTCAGTTGACCGAGCAGTCTTATCCCGTTTAATGTACCAGTGTGCAACAACAGCTTGCTTGAACAAAGAGCGTTGTTTGATTAGCAACAGTGATCTACTTTTTGCAGTAAATTTGAACCGGACATAAAGTCCGTGAAATTGTGCAGAGTGTACGGGAGTAAACCACCTAATGTCACTGGTCTCAGTCCTAGAGGCTTAAAGGATATTATTACTGGCCCAAATGATAGCTCTCGACAGGAACTCCAACATAAGAATAAGACCTGATAGGCTATAGGCTTACAGACAAATGGCGAGGGAGTCACCGGGACTAATACCCTCTACCTCCATGACCATAGATGGTGTTCCAGAGCCGGAAACTGGCACTGCTTGTGAAAAACACGTGCAACAATGGAGACTGCTCCCATATCAGATGGCCCTTGGTGGTTGTACGGCAACATTATTATATTTTACATACATTATTTACATATACATTATTATTATTAACCTTGATTTGAAGACCATCCCGTCCTGCTCATCTCACGCTGATTAGCTCTCCAGGGCTACTGACTGTCAAATTCAGCTCCCAGGAGCATTTGGCCCCGGTAATTCAACGGTGGTACGAAGCCTAGGGTTAAATAGGATGATATACCCGGTGCTGCGAAAACTGGCCCCAGCCCTTGAGGAGGCAGTAGACCGGGGTCAGAATACTTCCCCGTGCCTCAGTGGCACTACAGCGATGCAGCAGTGAGAATGAAAGCCGATGCCATCCAAGTGTTCTAACTGAACCCAAG